AACAAAAAAGTGCATTTTTAGTAATTAAAATTATTCAAAAATAAAAGTTTAGGAAATAAATTTGACATTTAACAAATGCATTATGTTAACTTTTGGGAGTATTATTATAATTTTTTTTAATTTTCAAAAGTGTTAAAAAAACATAAGAAAATATTTCCTCTTCGTTACACGGGACTTAAAATTAGGGGTGGACACAGTTTGGCTTCAATCTAATCAAAATCAATATTTGCACTTTTTCTTTTTCTTTTTATTTTTCATTTTATAGGAACCAAAACTGAACAAAAAAAAAAGCATTTATGGGGTTTGGTTTGGTGACATAAATAATCAGTTTTAACATCTTAATTATCGGTTTTAATCAAATCAACAATGATTACCTATTTTGAGTCTAATAATGACTATATTTAGCCAAAATTTAAAATTTTTAAGGAATAAAAACATAAGAAAATGCCAAAAAGGTGGACAAATGAGAATAAACTATGAATTTTAAATTTTACGTTTTTTACTTTTAGATATATTTTTAATTAAAATATTAAATTATAACAAAATTTATAAGGTAAAAGTTAACAATAAAAATGCATAAGATGATTTTTATATTTATTTATAATATTTAAATAACTATTATTTATTTATTAATATAAAATTTTATTTTTTATATATTTAATTGTATTTATTTACAATATTCAAATAACATTTAAAATTGGACCAGTTCTTTCCAGAGTTAAATAATTAAGAATAATAATAAAATGGATGAATTTTATAGAATGAAGATTTAAAACCAATGTTTAGGAATGAGTAACATCACTTAAAATATTAACTTCCTCTTTTATGGGTTCTATACGTTCGATTTCAAATTAATTGAATCTAATATAATTTTCGGATATTGAAATGTTAATAAAAAAAAAAACATCACTTAAATATCAAAAGGTGGATTTTATATTATTTAATAATTAATTTTTTTTACTTTAATAAAACCTTTAATATTATATGCATCAATTCATATTTAATTACCTGATTTATACTACATTATTGCACCAAATTTTGTTCTCTATATTACTACTCAATTAAGAATAAATATAAAATTTCATTAATAAGCTCATATATCCCTATTTTATTGGACAGAATTTCTAAAGTTAAATGGAGAGATATATAAAAAACAAAAGTGATCACACTTTAAAATTGGACCAGTTCTTTTGATAGTTAATTGAAACGTGGACAAGCGTTATCTGAAATTTAGACAAAATCTGATTTAATTTGAGCTATAAATCAAACTTTGGCAAAGTGGGTAGAATATTGGACAAGGCTTTATTTGAAATTTAGACAAAACCTGATTTAATTTGAGCCATAAATCAAACTTTCGTAAAGTGGGTAGAACATTGACTATTTAAATCCAGTCACCAAAGAGATCAGGACTAAAATGACTTTTATTGAAGTTGCTTTATATTGATAAAGGCTTTTTTTTTTCTTTTTTTTTTTGATATTCGGTAGTGATATTGAGTTATGATTAATTCGAAATTAAGCCACGTCAGATCTCATTTGAAGAAACTCTCTCAACGTTTGTTTCTCCATTTATAAGACTCGAATGCGATATCTTACTTAAAAGAACCAAATTTCTTCCACTCAGATTAAAAGATCATTGATGGTAAAGGTGTCTATTATAAAACTAATCAAGAGATTGCCTAGATCCTGAAACCAAATGTTAAGAAAGGAGGCATTTAAGAAAAAGTAGACTTTACAAAATTAATTTTATCTAAAACTAACCAACAATCCTAACATATATAAATGAAAACAACCTAATCTCAAAAAATATCCCAACATAAAAAATAACCAAATACTAAACCACTTCCTAATATTGAGCAATGGTGATCTTCTCAACAAATTAGGTCGATTCTAATGCTTTGTCTTCACTTCTCTGCTCCTTCTCGGTTCCTCCATTTTTGGCCAAAAAATGTCTGGCAAAGGCATTGAAATAAATCAAATTCAAAACTTCTATACTAGCCTGGAGGCAATAGAAGTACTCCAGCCTATCCTTATTGAGATCGTGACCTCCCAACCACGGCCCTTTCCCACTCTTCTTAGTTGTTGTATAAACAATGTTCACAAGAAGAGAGTTCAAGTAGCTTGACACTGATAAGCTCAGAAAGAAGATTGCTCCAGGAACTGTCCTCATGCTCTCTGGTAATTGTGTCGTAAGAAGTTCCATCAAAGCAACTGCAGCAAACGCTTCGATCAAACCTGTTAATACATTAACAAGAGTTTAGTTGACTTAGTATTTACTAATAATTACTATAATTAAGGTTGGGAGTTTAAACCTGATAAAGCGAATTGCGGCAAGAAGAACAAGACACTTAAAGGTGACTCAAATGTTCCGCTTTTGAAAGCTGCCCCATGACGTTTTGTTTCAACAGTTGCAGCTACTAACGCATAAACAATTGCTATCACAATGCCGATGTTCAACATATGTGTCATTGTCAACCTTTTAGTCTTTCCTGTAAGTTTTCTAGCTTGAGGTACCCAAATTTGCTCGTAAATGCAGATCCATATTGCAAGGGCAATCATCGACGAAAGTCCCATCCAACCTGGAGGTACCTGAAAGTGGGATCCAATCTTTTTGTTTGACTGGATTACTTGCATTATCCCAATAGAGTTTTGTTGGTCCATGGCTATGAAACAACCAATTCCTGTTATCCAAACGGGCAACATTCCTAGTAACATCTTCAAATGTTCCACTTGTTGCACACTGGTTAACTTCCATCCATTTTTAGGCAAACCCTGCTCATCCACCTCACTTTCATCTACCACCATAGCAGCCTTGTCAAGACATCTAAACCTCTCTGATTGAGGAATTTTCACCTCATTTTCGAGCGGGGGGGGGTCGTGGAGCGTGTGCTCTGAGGCACGTAAACCTCGTTTCCGAAGCGCTGCAACAATCACCTTAGCCACATCAACAAAAACACTTCCTTGGGGCTTTGCAAGTATGTAGGTATGGTGACCAATTATGAAAATGGCAATGGAGAAGAAGAGGCACATGGTAGGGATGAAGAAACCAAGAGCCCAACTAACATTGGTCTGGATGTATACAACACCAGTGAGAGCAACTACGAGAGCCAAAGTGAATGAAAAGTACCACCAATTGAAAAAACTCTCTAATTGTCTTCTTCCCTTTTTAGTTGTGGTGTCAAATTGGTCTGCCCCAAAGGCAATGTTGCAGGGTCTAATGCCACCAGCTCCAATTGCCAGTAACCCTAAGCCAATAAAAAGGACGCCCAATTGCCATTCCTTAGGACCTATGCAATTTCCTTTGTCAATGCAAGTTGGAGGTCTCAATGCCGATATAGCAGCAGTAAAAGCAATAATCCCCGTACCCTAAAACCGAAGGATCAAGAAACTCCAATTAAACCATCTACATAAAATAAACACATTTATATTGCAGGTACATAATGATAATGTCACATATATATATATATATAATGTATTAATGACAATATAATTATTCAAGACTGCACAACGATGATCATTAAATTAAGGCAGATTTCCACCATTTGATGATCAAATTTTTGCAGTCTGATGTAATTGAAACTCTAAAATCATGAACTCTAAATAAATTACCAAGAATGATGATATTGAACCGAAGAGAAGAGTACGAAATCTGCCCAGAAAAGTGTCAGAAAACAAAGCGCCAATAATGGGTGTAACATTGCAGGATCCAGACCAAACACTGACAACACTAATCAAAAGAATACCATCCATGTTGTAATGAGTTTGTAGATAAACAGTCAAGTTTGCTATCAAACTCATTGAGGCTAATTTCTCAAAAGTTTCATTTGCTGCAAAAAAGGCAAAAAATGAGAAAAAAAAAATGATCAATTCATTTGATCTTGGATTATCAAAATTTAGGGAAATACATTACCGAGAATGTATTTGATGGCTCTCCATCCTCCCTTCTCTTTTTTGGATTGTCTTTGCTCTGTTGAAGAATTGCTTGTAATCTCCATTTTTTTCAGCCCGTCGTCCTACTATCTCCACCGGATAGACGTTTTGATCGGAAATAAAATTTGCTCCTTACTTTATTGACAATCAAACTTCTATTACTTAGGGAAATTACGAGGAGGTAATTCCTCATAATCCTCAAGTCCGGAGTGGATAGCATGACTATAATCCGAAACAAGTTCATCTTATAATAAATAATGTAATTTCTCAAAGGGTCATGGTTTTAGTCGTAACACGAAAGAATTTTCTATTTATGGAATTTAAACAGAATATTTGTTGCAACTTAAAGCTACTAGCCTACTACTATACATCTACATCCTTGACGTTTTCTCTTAGCAAGGAGGTTTTGTTGATCCGCATTTTTCTAACTAACAGCAATAAAGAATAAATAAGAAAAAATTAAGAAAAATAATTCGTTATGTTCTTTGACCAACCATCCATTCAGTTCATCGTCATTGTCATTAGCATCACACACACTTATCACACTTTCCTTGTTGCTTATCTTCAAAATCAACTTGGTGAATCACTAGTTCGATATTAGATGAAACTGTAATCCTTCGTTTCTTCTGCTAAAGATGGAGAGTACATGCTAAAACACAGAAACTAGTTTCTAAAATCTTTGCAATAAAAAGATTGAAGTAAAATCTCAAGCTTTTTTATTTTTTTTGTTTTGTTTTTAATCTATTGTAATCTATCCCATTCTAAGTTCTTGATAATTCTAACTTCTAAGTCACAGTTTTCTCATAAAATTTTCTCATACATGGTCTGGTCCATGGTTTGCAAAATAGACATTCGAATATACTGCCATAGAATTTTGTGTGAGTTTAGTCACCTGGACCATAAGGAAAATAATTTCAAATGTTTTAGGGACTCAATTGCAAATAAAATAAAATAGTAGAACTTAGTTAAGATACTGTAAAATGACTAGGAAGTGTACTTGAAAAAGCTATGAATGTTACCCTCCGTACATCTGTTCGGCATTGGTTGATATTATATAGTCTCCGTAAAAACTCAAAACTTTCCCAAAAGTATCATTGTTTCTATGAGGTGTGTAGCCGCACTTCACTAAATGTGAGTGGACCCTTTTTAATTGCTTTAGTATCCCTTAACTCAAGAGTGCTAGTTTGGGTCACAACTTTCAGTAAATCACTAATCTGATGTTATATTGTCTTGAAATTTTGTTACGGCCCTATTCATAACTATTAATGATCTCCAAAAGAGATGCATTTTGGAGATAACAAGTACCAATGCTTGTCTTTCATAACTAAATGGATGCGATCCGAATGCATTAATCATATATGAAGAAAAAGAAGCCAAGGAGAGGAGTAAGTAGCAAAGAAGAGAGATTATTGGTGGTTGTTACGCAAAAGATTCATTTGGAGTGAGATATATATATATATATACACACATATATATATTGGTGCTTCACACATAATAATTTTATATTTATAATATTACATAGTATTGTAATTATATCATTTTTAATGTATAAATCACAAGTTAAAGATACAAATCATTATTACTCAAAATTAAGGAGTAAAATCACAATGGATTTTCCTGCCATAAAAAGGTATTCACAGGAGATTTTTTCAATCATTCTGATAGATTAATGTAGAATCATATGTACAATC